ACTCTCTTTTTTACTCAGGTTTAAAACTTTATCACCCCCTCTCCAATGAGTCGTTACTTTTTCTATTGCCATGAATTCTAGATCTTTGGGGTCTGAAAGATGTTTATCTAAAAAATGCTTAGAGACACTATGATTTACAAATCCCTTTTTAATGTTCCTAATATGCTCTCCGATACGAACTTTTAGGGGTCTCGATGTTTTGCCCATATATTGTAAACCACATTTACATTTTAAAAGGTAGACAACATTGCTAGAATCGCAAGAGATAAAACTAGATACTTTAAAAGACTTATTGGTAACCACAGACATAAAAGACTCCCTTTTCTTCTTATCAATAGTCGTATTTTTACAGGCAATACAATTACTGCAATGAAAAAACCCTTTTTGTTTTTTTGACCAGTCGTCTAGAAAAGTCGGTTCCTTCTCACTATCTACAAAACTTGATGTTAAAATCTGTTTCAGGTTTCTAGCACCCCTAAAAATAAATTTAGGCTTGTGGCCTATAAAATCTTTTATATCATGTTCTTGTTGGAGAATATTCCAATTTTTATTAATAACCCTCTTTAAGGTACCAATATTAGTGCAATAGTTAAAAATAAAAGGGATTTGATTCTCTTTCTCTATTTATTTGCGGCTACTTGTCGTTTTGGGATTACTCACCTGCTTTTTTAGTAGAGAGACGATTTATATGGCTCTCCACATTTTGAGTTTTTCCTGTTATACATATATCTGAAAATGTTCTTTTATTTGTTGCCCTATGAAGATTCTGTTATATTTATTTCAGATTATTAAGGAGAAAAATATCCATTGTGTGCGCCAACTTCTCTCTGTTTCTCAATAATTTATAATAGTCTATCTGGATGACATCTTGGTACACTCACCTGATACACGCAGACACCACTTGCATGTCTGACAAGTTCTGAGAGCCCTGATACAGAATGCAAACTGGAGAAATGCTGTCTTTATTACCTTTAGATATACTTTCTAGGCTATGTCATATCAGCAGAAGGATTCAAAATAGAACCCAGCAAGCTAGATACTGTACATTACTGGCCATACACATGGGTTTAAAAGCCATACAGTGATGTGTTGACTTTGCAACCTATTACAGGCAATTCATTGGATTTCTCCAAGATCATTTTGTTTGTTAAAACATGACCAAAAAAGGGACTTATACTAAAACTTGGTCCCCTGCTCAAAAAGGCCTTAGTCTCTGCCCTTCTCCTGAAATACTCAAACCCTACAAAACAGACCACCAGCAACACTTATCAACACATAAACACAGGAAAAAAATGTCACCGTACACAAAATAATTATTACAACATGCCTAGTCCTAATGACCAACATAATACCCTGAAATGACAAAGGCATTCATAGAAAAAAAATCATTAATATTCAAATTACCCCAAATCTCCAGTTACCTACAATCACCCAAACAGATATCAGCTGCTACCATTTGATTCTGAAATTGACAATTAGGAACATTTTTTAGAGATCCACACCCATACCAACACACTTGCACAGACACCTTACCCACAAGAGCGAAAAAAATAAGTTTACATTTAGAGGGAGAAGAACACAAGAGAGAGAGGCTAGAAAGACAATAGCAGATTTAAATGAAAGGGAGCATGGCATTTTTAACCTATCACAAAAAGTTTTAACTTCTCCTGCACAAATATCTGTCCTGAGTAAAGGTCTGAATTTGCCCCGACCCATTCATTTAAATATTTTCAGGATTTTTTAGATGGAAATAAATTTGTACGCAAGGCCACTTTAAAAAGATTTTTTTATTGAGAAAACTGCCAACTATTACATCTAGTCTACCTACACCACAACAAGATTCTCAAATAATTAACACCAATCTTAAAGAAAAATCGAACTTTTATCCACCCCATTTTAAATCAGCCCCTCTAGAAATGTTTGAAAAGCTTGTACTTCACGATCTCGATCAAATTGGCAAGAAATGTGATCCTCAAAATTTAACCAAATAAGAAAAGTCAGCACTGAAACAATTACAAGAAGACAAAGGTGAAGGTCTTGTTATCCTTTCAAAAACTATGTATGTAGATGAAGCACTTAAACAATTAATCGATATAGAAGTCTATGAAAAATTAAAGGAACACTATAGTCACCTAAATTACTTTAGCTAAATAAAGCAGTTTTAGTGTATAGATCATTCCCCTGCAATTTCACTGCTCAATGTACTGTCATTTAGGAGTTAAATCACTTTGTTTCTGTTTATGCAGACCTAGCCACACCTCCCCTGGCTATGATTGACAGAGCCTGCATGAAAAAAAAACTGGTTTCACTTTCAAACAGATATAATTTACCTTAAATTATATCTCAAGCTCTATATTGAACTGTAATCACATACAGGAGGCTCTTGCATGGTCTAGCAAGCTATTAACATAGCAGGGGATAAGAAAATCTTAATTAAACAGAATTTGCAATAAAGAAAGCCTAAATAGGGCTCTCTTTACAGGAAGTGTTTATGGAAGGCTGTGCAGGTCACATGCAGGGAGGTGTAACTAGGGTTCATAAACAAAGGGATTTAACTCCTAAATGGCAGAGGATTGAGCAGTGAGGCTGCAGGGGCATGTTCCATACACCAAAACTGCTTCATTAAGCTGAAGTTGTTCAGGTGACTATAGTGTCCCTTTAAGTACTAACCCTACCTATTCTATCCAATTTTTTTTAGACTCTAACATTTTAAATAAACATCCCCAAATCCCTGTTTATTTTTTGCCATAAATGCATAAAAATGAGACAACACACCCAAGCAGACCAATTGTATCAGGGATTAACCCTGTTACAACCTGCAGTCAAACTTACGAAGTGCTACCTAAGAGACTATGTATCTTTTTAGATTTTTAAAACACTTAAACCCTAATTTTATTCTAGTTACATGTTATGTACAATCCTTGTATACAATCGTAACCCCATAGTAAAGGCTGTGAAGCAGAGAAAATTTAAGAACAGAAAGGAGAATTCCAGAAACCCAAATTGACTTTATCATTGAAGGTATTAATATCATTTTAAAAAATAATTTCTTATGGTTTTTAGACTTTTTTTTAATTTTATTTATTTTTTTACAAAAAAGAGGCAATTCCATGGAGACCAGGTTTGCCCCCACCTATGCTAACCTCTTTATGGCAGACTGGGAGTCCACAGCCATTTGGGGTGAGCATGCATGGCGGAGGAACCTGGTTACCTATTTTAGATTTATTAATGACCTGTTTTTTTTATATGGGAAGGCTCTGAAAAATCTTTAAATTTGTTTATTGAAAATAATAATTTTTACTAGAGAATATAGCAAGGTATATAAACTTTTTAGATTGACAGATTTTTATACCTGATGGTAGAATAAATACCAAATGTTTTTTTAAGAAGGTTTGCACTAATACAGTCACTGAGCAATCTAGCTGCCATTACAAACCATTGCTAGAGAGTGCCCCTTCAAAGACAGTTTTTACGAATTCGAAGAAATTGTTCCCAGATCCAAGATTTGAACGCACAAGCTGACATTTTAAAAAATACATCTATTGATTTTTTTTTTTTTTTTCTAGTCCATGACTACAGTCCACATAATGCCTAGCAGGCGGCCTGACTACTAAAAAGAAAACCTAGGTGGGGATCATACCACTGGTGCCTTATCCATAGAGGAGTTTGCCTGCTCTACATTTGTGAGTATTCACTCCAATTATTATTTTAGCATTTTTATTGTAACAGAGAGCACTATTATCTGCCTTTTTTATTCTTGTCATTTTGGGTTAAAAAAAAAACTAAAACTCTCCTTTGGACACTTATCCAGATATCCCAAAAGTGGGGATTATACCACTGTACGCTACTACAACTAGAGCTGGTCATAGCTCCATTAAATGTGAGTAAGATACCGCAGTTTTATTATATACACTACACATATTGATTTATTGCACTATTAGATTTCCTGTTCTGTTTTATATAGCTATATGGATCTTACCAAGGAACCTACTTTCCAGTAGAAGAATCTACCATCTACCCCTAAACTTATATTGCATTTAAAGGGGTATTCTGTTTTTTATCCTGGACTATTTCATCTGATTACTGACAACAGTATTTTATTGTATTCTTGTGGCGCATCCTCTTTGTTTATTTCTGTTAAACCCTGCATTGCCTTTCATATTAGAGGTGGATGCTTCAGAAGTAGGTAAAAAGTTGTCCGATCACCAAGAAAGTTCTTTAGTTGCTATTGTATCTTTATGGAATCTGTAACAAAAACCTAATGCCAGCAGCAATGAATTATGGCATATATAGCAGGGACTTGTCAATGTGACTGCTATCATTTCATAGTAACTGCTATAATGTCTTGCAAGGTGATACATAGCTGGAATGGTATTCAAAGTGCGACCACACAGTGGCCAATCTAACATTGCAAAATCTCCAGGGAATTGTGAATTCTCTTTTAGTGCACTCTGGACTTCATACACCTTTATGAATTTTATAGCTTCCTGCCTATATCATCATCTGTATTTTTACATTCTGAATTATGTATAGTTTATCCTAAATTAACACGTGTTTTCTAGCAATTTGCATGTTATCTGTCCCACCTTTCCATTCTAAAATACTTCCTTCTTGCTGGTTCAGCTGCACTGAACATACAGCACCGACGGTAGCCAGAGACAAGTCAGAAGGGTTATAAAGACCATGGTCTGGTTAGGGGCCCATTGATTTAAAATAAAAAAAAATCAATATGTAAGTATATGTTTTCTACATTATCTAAACAATGCATTTTAAAAATGAATGGCTCAGTTCTAGTCTAGATTGCTACTTTAAAGCTTACTGTAAGATGCAGATAAACAGAATTATAATTACCAAAAACATGTCAAATGCTAATTTATTGTGTTGTTTGGGTTAATCGTTTGTTTGATTTTAATTCATGTTTAACTGAAATAGAAAATAATTGGCATAAAGAAACTTTTCAAATATTTTAATATAAAAATATTTTAATTTACAAAATGTTACACAGATATAAAATACACATACATTGTTCAGAAACAGTCCATATGTTTATCCAACAGACAAGATATTTAGAAAACGTTTATTCAACGTATGGAATGTTTGCAGGCAAGGTAATGTCGGCAGAGGAGTCATTAAAAATATTGAAGCAATCACAAAAAGTTTTTAAAAAAAATTTTCAACAACAAGTTGACCATTGACACGCTGGATCGGTGAAAAAGTGCCCTATGCCTTATATTAAAGACACGAGTTTCAGCATCAATAACCTTTTCAAAGACGATTTATCGACACATTAACGGAACCATCTTAGTAACACAGAAAGAATATATTTTTGTCTGCCACTAAATGATTGATAGTGGTAATTGGATAGGATGTATCACCACTCAAGATGAAGGGTTTTGGCCCTTAGATAAATTTAAATAAATTGAAGATAGTGGTGAAACAAATTGGAAGTGTAGCCACAATATAGCAAAATCCATAACACGGCAATTATGCAATAAATAAAATCTCCATATTGAACTGCTTTAAACGGCAATGTCCGTAAGGGAAATAATAGATTAATGACACACCTGTCACTGCTAACATCACTTGGCTGTTTGTAACCTTAAAATATGTGATGTAGTCGCTAACTTTGCGTTATTGAGCTTGACACAATGAGATAAATGATCACATCACAAGTTCGACCCGTTTTTCAGCACATCATGCTTTTTGACTTTGGCAACAATACCGGCAGTAAAATGGTCCGTAAAATTTTCATTATGACTTTAAAACAAAATATTTGTTTCACTAACCAGGAAATTTGAACACAGTGCATTTAACATAGAAACACTTAATGTACTTGTCATTCTGTTTCCAGGGATTTCAACAATGCACTGAATAATTCACCAGACAGGGTCGAGAATGAGCATGGATCTCTCCCTTTAAAGTCCTTGTGATGCCAGTGCCCATTTAGATATCAACGCAGGGAACTATTCTGGACAAACCGTATGAAAGCCGGATCATAGAACAGGGATAACAGAGTACCATAGGGCATCTGTCTCTTAAAATCCATATAGCACCCTAAAATGAATAGGCATGAATTAAAATTCTGCTTTGATTTGTGAATCTGTAATGCAAAAAGGGCCTCACTGATATCAGTCATCTAACTTATGTAACTGATTTCTACTGTATGTAACTGATTTCTATACTAAACATGGTGCAATAAGAATAGACACTAGAAACACCACTAAAAGGTAAGTTCCTTTCATTTATTTTTAAAGTAATCAACTAAAGTGGTTTCAGAAATAATTTAAATGAGCAAAAATGCTAAATAGGCTCAGAATCTACGAAATTCGACCTTTAGTCCTTTCACAGTCCAAATGTAGGTTAAGTTCCATAAATCTGTTTTAAGTGCAGTTATCACTGGCTCAAAGCAATGGCAGAATCTTCACTGCTGTTTCCTTGGTCTAGTCCGAGCCTGCGGATAGACTGAGTGTATTTCTGCTTTCCCAAAGTCACAATTTGTTGGATCATCTCTGCTATGTCAGTCCGGCCGCTGTCCTGCATAGCCTTCACTAGTCTCTCCACACAGTCTGGCTGAGAATAATTTTTATTTGCCCAAACGAATAGCATTTCCAGTATCTGTTTGTCCAGATCCCCACTGAGAAAGCAAAGTGAAAATATATGTTAAAGGTACCTGTCCCTTTACAACTTCTTCACTTCCTCATTCTGGTAGCTACAGCTGTCACAGATTCCCTGCCCATCTAGCCTGTACGGACAATTGGTAGCACCCTCACACAACTTTCTATAAGACAGCCTATAATGCAGTCAGAAACACGTCACGGATAGCAGATGAAAAAAGGTCGGTGGGAGCTGCCAATAAAATCACTTATTGTAGCGTGAGTCACGTTCAGCGTAGACCACTCCATTCTAGTGCATCAAATAACTGTTTTTAATTGTATTTATCAATAAAGCCAATTGTTTTAACTTTTATGCTGTGTGGAAGGTTGTATTCAGAAGAAGGTACGTTTTAGGGCCATTGGTGCTGTGATTGTCTAATCTATGCATGTGGGGTATAGCCACTAAACATTGTGACTTCTTGGAAACTTATGTGCACTGCTTCTGCATCATGACACCAACAAAGTAATTTGGATATAGCATTTTCTCTTTGGTGATGTATCCTACTATAAGCCTTACTTATACTACTTGTTATAAAAGAATAGGCAATATATAGGCAACTTGCAAGACCCTCTCCCAACTTTCTATAAGAGATCCTATACTGCAGTCATGAGCAAGGGTATACTTTTATACTAGAAACTCATTTCTCCCATTGAAAACAATGGGAGGGCCAGGATCGGCTAAGAATATTTTCATTTTTTTAAAATCAACATCTTCATAATGCATTAATAAAGTGGGTCCAATTCTGTCTAGGAGTGTTCATTTAAAGGCACAATAACTACTTCATCTTATTGAAGTGGTTATAGTTTCTGGAGTCCCCTGGCACTGTCCTTCCATTTAGGCGTTAAATCATTTTTAATGTTTTAATACGGAGAGTCCTCAGCAGCCCATTCCCTCTGTGCTGCTTGGGCTAATGAGATATTTCCCTGAGCAAGGGGTGGCTTTTATTTGCTGATAGTTTCTGCTGATCGCTTTCAGCCAATCATAGCACCCATCTGGTATGAATTGGTTTGGTCAGAAGGAAGTGTGCAATCTCTGCTTTAGCCATGCTGGAACTGGGCTGTGGGTAGTCACAGACCCTTAATGAATGTTAAACTGCTTGAAAATGAAAAAAAAAAAAAACACTAAATGGAGGGACAGCACCAAGGGACTCCAGGAACTACAACAAATTCAAAGAGATGAAATGGTTATAGTGCATACAGTGTCAACCAGTAGTTTTGATTAACAGGGACGTTGGAGATTATTCAATATTTTAGGTTAATACTAATTGAGGCTCATATTGCTTCATTACTTGATGATCAAAAGTACTACCTTCTTTTCTGAGAATAGTACATTAAAAAAAAAGAAATAAATAAAAACTAATTTCACAGTACTTTGGCTATTGGTAGCCAAGTTGGAGAAGCCAGATGTCTGTAAAATACATATGCCTAAAGTCTAAGCATCATATGAAATGTAATTCACAAACATCTCCTGTTCAAAGACAAAGTGACCAAGAGACAACCTGGCCAAGCTCCACATCGTGGACAGCAGGCTGAACTAATTTCATGTGCAAGTTATCTTACCTTAAAAATAAGGAATTCTATAATTTTATTAAGCGGTTTCTCTTGTATGGACAAAGGGAAATGCATCTCATTAAGTATTGTCAATCTTGGAGCATTGCTAATTTGTCAGCAGATGTTGAGATGAGGTATCGGATATTACCAAGTACATTAACGTGTCTCACCTGCTTTTATATTCAATTCGTTCTAATTCACCATGGCTTAGATTCAAGTTCATGCCAATTATCCGCCATTCTCTTCCAATCTGCCTGGCAATACTTAACAAGTTGCTTTCAGTCAGATAACCCATCTCAGCATTGCCCAAATTCAAAGGGGGCAACGAGTAACTGTTCCTGTTCTTCCCGAGTGCCGTGTCGGATGATTTTAATTTCTGTACACACAGAACAAATAAAGATTAAATAGTTTGACACTGTGAACAAAAATGACATCAAAACTCTAAGTTACTCACAGGCAGTTTGATTGGCAGAGAGGCCATCCATTCAGACTCTGGGCCTTTACGGTGCTTTGTAATTTCTTCAGCTAGAGCCTCTGGAACCGACCCGCGGTAAAAAGACACCTGAGGGGCAACATATAAATCTAATTATCATTGTGAGCAGTGGGTGCCCACCACAGGGCTCCTTGCTATTGTCGAATATTACTAAAATAAAATTTAAAAAATCAGTTTTACGCAAAATGAAATTTTTATAGACATAAAAAAAAGCAACACTTTTGTTAGTATAGTATTTATAAAGCAAACTGGGATAACTGATTTGCTTTTGACTTAAAAGGGGGTGATAGGCACTGTCCAAAGCATTTTGTGACAAGATGCATGAAAGATTCGTGAACATTCTCCACACAGTAAGTTTTTTTTACGACAATAAGTAATATTTAAACATTTTAAAACTCACACAAGGACTCCAAATATAGATGTACAGAGTGATATACAAGCCATTGGTGGCACATAGGTGGCAGCAGCGAGCTTACAGAAAAGCTTGATAGATCGAAACACAGTGACATATTTTAGTCTAAACAGAACTTTCTCAGGATAGAAATTAAATGTGTGGTCCAGCTAGTTGGTTTTACTGTAAAATATGCCACAGGCATTAAGCACTGTGGCATGTATGTATGGTGGCAATAAAGGGTTAAGCTGTCCTGTTGGTACAGTTAGGGAAAGTTTAGTGAAACTTCATGACCCAGTTAGGTTGTTGGGCAGAGTGGGACAAGTAGCTGGGCAGATTTGGTGACACAACTGTTGCTGGGGACAAGAGCTGGCTGGGGATTGGTTGCTGGCCGTGAGCAAGCAAAAGAGCGAGAAGCCAGGTAATTATAAAAGCACGAGCGCAATCGCTGTCAGCGGTCTTTTAAGACAGGAGAAACACGGATAGACCCCCGCCCTCCCTCCACTACTTGCTAATTTTCTTTATAATTAATGCCATGGTGTTGGAAAGCATGGGGGCAAAGTCATCCTCGGGTTCAAGTTCTGAGGAAGGATGTGTGTTAAATGGTTGTATATAAAAAGGCGGTCAGGTTAGCTATGACTGACTGGCAATTAAGTGATGGTGAAAGTTAAAGTTTTGGAAGTAAAGTGAAAAGTTTATGTAAATATGTTACTGTGATCACGTTATGGTGGTATGCCCCTTTTAAGCTTTAAATAAACACCGCGGCTAAGCCCATTGAAATATAAATAAACTGTCTGTGTTTATTGTGTGGTCCAAGTTATTTATGCAAAACATTGCCTACCATACATATTTAGAATATGTGAAAATATATGCTCATTATTGTATTTCTCATGCAAGAAAAAAATATGAATACTACATTTTCATTTGGCACTATGAAAATCTGATGGTAGCCTTTTCTGCAATGAAAATTGCCATATAAACTTATTAAAAAGTGTTCATTGGATCATGCAGGGTTTGTTGTGAAAAGTAATCCTAACAATGGGTCCCTTCATTCTGGAAGACTTTATTGGCCTTACCTGCCCTTTAACATCACTATTTTCTCTGTCCGATGAGGTTACATACACTTCTTTCATGTTTTTCATCCGAGAGTAGAATATGAAGGACAGCCTGCCACTCACACAGTCAGGGCGGTCTGAAATAACATAATAAAATGTTAGTAATCTCATCAGCTCACCTGATTTTAAGGAACACATCTAAATTAAGTTATTATGGTGAAAGGAGGCCCTTGGGTGCACTCTTACCTTGAGGAGTAAACTGTTCTTGAACGGTTTAATCCCAAAGTTTACTTCCAGCGCCAATCTGCATCTTGCCCAATCGGCATCCGGCTTCAGAATCTCAGTTACAGAAAGCACGGTGTGCCGGCTGGCAGCGGCACCACTGATTGGCATAGAGCAGTCAGCTGATGCTCTAAGCCAATCAGTAGCTCCCCATTGATTAAAAAATTAATTAATAAAATCTTTTTTATGGTAAGTTTTCTGTTTTCATTAAGATGACATTGTTATGGTGACCAGAGTGTCCCGTTAACCCCTTAAGGACACAGCTTCAAAGGTTTGTCTTACACATGCCATTTTTGCACTTTTTGCGGTTTATGTTCAAACGCAATTAGCATCTCTGTCATTATTGCACCAACACATACACACCATTTTTTAAAGGCCAAAAGGGGCTTTAATTTGATGTCACATATACATAGATAAACTCTCATTAATAAAAAAAAAAAAAAAAATGCCAATGGGGAAAAAAACAACTTTCTTTTTCACAGTTTTGGCAAGAATAGCGTGTGCATAATATGTCCAGCTTCTGAAAAGTAATTTAATAAATTAATTTATGTGTCTTGATTTATAGACTACATAATATGTGAATGTTTTCAGCTTATTTTGAAAGTTGCAGGACACAAAAACACAAAAGGACCAAAATAAAATTTCAATGTGAAACAATTTTAGAAGTTGGTATGTTTGTCTTGTTGGTTTAGTAGCCATCAAAAAAAAAATCTAAAAAATAAGAAAATTGCCACAGAAAAGTATATCTTTATATAAAGTAGATATCACAGGCTATTTACCTAACGTTATTTTAACACTGTTTACATAGCAATTTCATCGCCAATCTCTGCTAAATATTGGAGTAAAATTGTGTTTTTTCTTTATTTTGGCATACACACATATCAAGGTTTTTGTAATGTGTATTTCTTAAAGCTGGTGTGTGCTATTCCTGCACAGAACCCCATATTGTATTCAGCTACATCTGCCGAGTATAACGATACCAGTGGCGTACATACTGGGGTCGCGGCTGCGACCGGGCCTGGCCCACCAGGGGGGCCGGCTGCTCTGCGACCCGGTATGCACGTGTGCAGTGTGGCCAGCCTCTTCTCCTGGGGGGCCCAGGAGATGGCCACCTCAAGGCCCCCTGAGGCTGGCACTGCTGTCACCGGGCAGGCTGGCTAGAGGCCGCACGAGGAAGCACTCTCCCCTGAGTGCTGCCTGCCCAGGTCCCTCGCGCACTGCACTGATACCGGAGCCGGAAGATGACGTCATCTTCCGGCTCCGGCATCAGTGCGCGGCGCGCGAGGGTGCTGAACACGAAGCACTCAGGGGAGAGTGCCAACGGATCAGTTTTCACACCGGGGCCCCATGGGTTGTGTGTACGCCACTGAACGATACCCTTGTTGTATGCCTTATCACTATTCTGTGAAGTTACAATGCCATATAAGAGACAAGTCATATAAGAGACAAGGCTATTTCAGTTTCAATAGTTAGAATTTTCATAGATGGATTTGACGGGCCTATGTCTCATTCTGGGGTATTATAGCAGTGTGACTGCCACAAAGGCTTCCATTTGACAAAGCAGACACCCCAGGGTATCTTGTATGGTGTATATTGTACCTTAACTTGTCACCATTTTATGCCAATGTTTGCGGTGAGGGAAGAAAAAAAAAATTTTTACATACATGTTGCATTTTTGCTGAGTATTTCTTACACTTGATATGTGCCACTGTCATTAATAAAATATATATATGCTCAGTTACATCTTCTGAGTAAAGCAATATGCCTAATGTATGACCTAGTCACTAGTTTGTGAAGTTACAGTGCTGTAAAAGACGTGACAAGTTCAGGTTTTTAAGTGTGAATTTTCATGGAGGGTTTTGATGCGTCTGTGTCCCACTTTGGAGCACTTTAGCAGGCTACATATTTCAACTACACCATTTCTTAAAGAAGACATCCCAGGGTATTTCAAAAGGCATATTTTGAACATTAGCGTGGGATAATTTTTCCGCTAGCTTGTACCAGGTGTAGTGGCAATAAGCATATTTTTCTCTTTTTTTGACACACAAAGTGAGTTTGCACAGTATATTTTGCAAATATTATGTGTGCTACGGCTGTATGTTTCATATGTTGCTCAGCTATGTCGTCTGAGTACAACAATACCCCCGTATGTACCTTTGCCAGGTACATGTGGAGGTTGAATAGGCACATTTGAGACTCAGCCAGTTTTTTTCTCACTTTGAAGTTTTGTGCTGTGTCCATGTTCCATTTTGGAGTAGATTTTTTGAAAGAATAAACCTTGGGTTATTTCAAAAAGGCATATTTTGAACCTTAGCGTGGGATCATTTTTTTGCTAGTTTGTTCCAGGTCTAGTGCTAATGAGCATTTTTTAATGTCTTTTTTTACAGTTTATTTTACACTTCTAAAATTGTTATAAACTTTTTTTACCGTTAACCTCTAACTAGCAGTAAGCTGCACCAACAGTAAATCCCCCAATTTCTAGAATAATATATGATTTTAAAATTAAATAAATTGAACCCGAGGGTTAAAAAAAAAAAAAAATAATAATATATATATATATATATATATATATATATATATATATATATATATATATATATAATAGTTAACCTCAGGGGTTAAAAAAAAAAAAAAAAAGTATAATACTGTGATCTGTATTTTGATCACTGTAGGCAGTGATCAACTGGCAGAGAAGGGGTTAAAAAATTAAAACTGTAGTCCCTGGCAGGGAAAGGGTTAATTTTATTAAAGCAGGGGAGAGGGGATTTAACTTAAAATTTTTTTTGTTTTTCTAATATTTTTTTTTACACAAGGTGTAGAGGATCGGCACCGATCCGTCTCCCTGCACTTCACACTGATCGCGGAAGCACAGGGAGGCGGCTCACATGTGCTTGCTCTGACAGCCAGAGCGATCACAGCTGCAGGGACAGCGCGAACGGGTGCTGCCTCGAATACAGAGGCAGACCGGAGGAGCGTTAACCCTGCGATCACCGTGATCTGGGGTTAACTTTAGTAAATGACAGAATTTTTTCGTCATGTGTCCTTAACGGTAGGACAAGCATGTCGGAAAATTTCAGTTAAGCATCGTGAAGTTGTTAATGATGAAATATTTTACTGCAATGAAATTGCAAACAGGGCCTAGAACAATGATTGACAAAAAGCCAAAACAGTTCCAGGATAGACTAAAAAGGAATACTCCACCATCACCATGAGCTGTAGGGCTGTGACACCCTCCACCCTCATTGGTCTAACCATTTTGGAACGTTTTGACTTTCTGCAGGGCACCATTCCAAGCCTCAACTATTTAAATCAGTTCCCCCATGGATGGTTAATTGGCCAATGGCATAAAAGCATAATCAATCCCAGCCAATGAGCTAATCCCTGCACTGGCAAACTGTCTTAAAATGGTTTGACTACTTACAATGGGTAGGGGGTCACCATCACACTCCCGGACTATATCAACTACAGGACGTTACAATGGTTATGGTACTTGGAGTGTTTCTTTAAATACAGTGTGGATTCCTAATAAATATTTGTTAAAAATAGGGGATGAGAAAATCATGGGACAATTCTCAATGCAGGTGCTTTAGAACGCAAACTGTTCTGTTTTGCAACTGGGTTCTGATGGCCTTTAATTACTACACCTGAATGAAGCTTTAGGCCTTGTTCAAATGCTGCAAAAAACTGCTCTCCTTCAACAAGATCAACCAGATCAGAGGGCTCTGGGCCTTTGTATCTATCCTTTAGCTTTTTCACTGTGTTATCCACCTGAGGGAAAAAAAAATATATATTTTATTACATCAATGTAGTATAGAACTCACAGTGAAATTATTGTCGTCATTTATTTATTAAAGGGCTTCAACGTATATGCTTTTATGACAGTACCCTAATAATTAAAATGGTTAAACCGTCACTAGATGAATCATTCCTAACCCGTGTTCCTACAGCTCTTCCCTTGTCCTACCCCCAACCAGAAAACAAGGCTGTGTTACATGTATCATGCCTACGCAATCGGAGTTTATTCTAGACACACACTTACAAACCATGCTAAATCAAAAACATTCATAAATGTTATAAATACAATCAACTGTTGCACAAGAAATTAAAATGTCATATTAACAATTTAAATGTCCTATTAACATGCCATTGTTATTACAAACCATCTGTACACATAATATAGCCCTTTAAAAAGTATTGGCCATCGTATTCATGTAAACCCTTATAAGAAGGGAAACACGTAAACTGCAAAATTCGAACTAAAATAATCAAGCGGTGACTATAGTGGAGTTGAAAAAAATGGTTCCAGCTATTTTGGTCTAAATTTTACAATTCGAGAACATTTCATGTTTATATTTACACCTGAACGGTGAAATTTGATGTATAGTAACTCACACAGTTTGTATCGACTTTGTTAGTAGACAAGTCAAATGTCATGCACTCCACACGTGCAGATATCAAAATATAAGCAACGTTTCACTACTATACATTTTTATTGCTCTGAAACTTGCAATGGTCAAGGGAATAGATTCCATTTCTGGGTGAAATTAAAAAAGATTCCTCTAATACAGGACAGATATGTTATTCAATGAAAACTGAAATATCTTCAACTTTTGCACAGTTTTTAATGAATGTTAAAAAGACACAATGGGGGAGATTTATCACAGAGTTCTGAAAGTGGTCTGTTATTTTTGATCTATAATATCTTGACATTTATTACATTGTTCTAAAATTGGTCTATAAAGTGTTGGTTTTTCTCTGCTTAAATTCAATCCATTTTTCCTCTCAGAATTTTCTTTTCAGAAATGACTGACAAAGATTTGTGGAAAAAAGAGAAGTGAAACAAAATACTTTCACACAAGAAGGAAAACAAATGACAATTTAATAAATGACACGGTTTATACACCAACAAGAAGAAAAAAAAAAAAAAGCAAAATAGTTTGCACCACTTTCATAAATCTGCCCAATGTGAAGACCAGAGGGTTCTGTGTGCCCGTCATACCGCTTTGACCAAGATGCACACTCATGTAGTACAAATGTAAAATGAGCTTTTGGGCATTGGAGAAGACTGATTGCCAGCCTCTTGCCATGTGATTATGGTCCCTGGAAGACCTGGCCCTTTAAATACAGTATATGGGCATTTGGTATTTTATTATGCTGTTTCTGGCCCTTTAACTACTTTGGGAAAGGACCTGCAGTTTTGGCATGGCACTTCGGATGCAGCCAAAGTACCAAAGTTGTCTGTTTGAACGGACTTTAACATGGGAAATAGACCGGCCACACAGCCTGATTCTCTGGAACTGTTTTGGGCATGAAAATGTGCTTGCGGTCGGTCATAAAAGGACTTCCAGCTAACTTTTTAACCCATGGATGGAATTGGCTAAATTTTGACTATGTTTATAATTAAAGTGTGCGGAATAATTTGTCATTTTTATAAAGATTGAATGTATACTTAAGTTATAGTACATGTGTAAAAACTGTATTTCTCTGACTGTAATAATTACATTAACTCATTGTGTTCAGTAATTATATCACAGGCAGAGGAGAGGATTTTGTGTGGGAGTGTCTGAGTGTATTGTACGTATTGATTGGTTGTACTTCAAAACCCTGTGCGGTACTATGGTTGTAGAATGGGCATAAAAGCAGAGTGTTTGATTAAAAGTTTCAGTTCTACTTCACCCTCAATTTGGAGTGCCGTCTCTTATTGGGGGAATCTGCTACAAGGGATTGATATGCTAGTCATACTCCCTTGCTATATCACTACTAAGCTCTTGTAAGAGCTTGTTCCTGTCTTGCTCTCTGAAGGAGTTTACGGTGGTTTTGGTGTCAGCTGGAGTGCTTGGAGCCCTCAGGAAGTGCTAGGAGCATCCTTCAACGGAGGTACCCAGTCAGGGTGCCAGGTGATCCGTTACACTTTAATTACAAAGAACCTACACTGCCCATAATTCAAATGCAGAAAAACAATCTGACAAACAATTAAAGCAATGAGGAGCAACAGCATTCAATATGTATACGAGGTTTGTCTGTAAAGTATTTAGACATGTAATATAAAAAAATAGAGAACATTTTTGAAGAAGATACAAGAAACATTATACATAGGACAATGATGCCTCAGTCTCCTTCAAAGTAGGCACCATGGGACCTCACACAATTCTCCCACTGTTTAAAATCCTCTGCAAAATCCTTTGTTGGAATCACCATCAGCTACCTCATCGTATTTACCTGAATCTCATCGACGGTCTGAAATCTCTTCCCTTTCAAAGGTGATCTTAGTTTTAAGAAAAAGCCAGAAGTCTCATGGCGATAGATATGGGCTGTAGGTGGACTAGGTGACATGGTTGATTTTATTTGCGATGCACTCATTGCATCGTCCCTGAAAGCCTTCTGAATCATCTGAATAGTTTTCACGGAGGAATGTTCAAGCTTAATGCAAAATTTTATGCAGGTTCGTTCTCATTCAGTCTTTTTGAATGTGACGGCCACACAGTAAACATGCTCACTCAATGGCGTCTAGCACCCCAACTGACTATCACAGTGAAGTCACCATTGGTCACGCATGCGCATTCCAGTCCACTCTCCTTGGCTGTCAGGTTACATCGATGTTGCACAAACCGTTCGTTATATTAACAATGGCTGAATACTTTCCAGACAGACTATATAGATATATATATAAAATCCAATGCTTGCGCTCCTGTTAAGAGATAATCGGCCTGGTGCTGGTCAGCAATAAATATAAAATAAGTAGTGTAAAGATAGCACTCCAAGGACTTCAGCAATATGGTGAAAAAACATACCTTTATTCAGGCATCAGTCTAGGTGGATCAATGTTTCAGTTCACTAATGGAACTTTCGTCAGGATCCTGACGAAAGTTCCATTAGTGAACTGAAACGTTAATCCACTTAGGCTGATGCCTGAATAAAGATAAGTTTTTTCACCATATTTCTGAAGTCCTTGGAGTGCTATCTTTACACTACTTATTTTATATATGTGTATATATATTCCTTACTGCTTCATAAAGAACACTGAAATGTGCATTGTAAAGGCTGTTTCCAAGTACTGATAAGGGTTTTTTCACCCTACATAAGTGCTTTGTTCTAGGTCTTCCAAGTCTACATCTAGGTAGGTTATTGAATTAGAAATAATAAGAACTGCTACAGCAAATATATCCAATCTTGCAATGTGATAACTGTAGGTTTGATTTCTTGATTGAACTGGGGGGAAAAACAAAAAACTAAAAAAAATTATCCACATGGACTTGTTCACTAACCTCTGAATTGTAGCAAATGGAATTAGAATGGTTAAATGGAGTTTAAAATAGGAACACTGTGTATATATCTGAGTTAGAGAATGTTTTACAGATCCCCCTATTTTGCCATTCAGGTTTCATCCGCTACAAATCAAAGTTTAGTGACTGGCTTCAATGCAAGCCATACTAACCTGCTATACAGAGCAAGGCAGACCAAGCAGTGAAAGAGATCACACATTAGAACTATGAGATAAAACAGGTTCTGAGTTGTATCACTGGGTTTTTACATAGTCCTGTTTCTTATAACTCATGAAATACAGGACATACAACCACACAGAAGATACATGCAGGATTATTACATGCCACTACTTAGCTGTAAAAGTTTGGTGTTCCACTCTAATTATGGTACTGGGGGAGTAAAAGACAATGAGCTTTTCAGAATGCACATTAAATCATTGGAAAAGAGATCATATAGTGAGATGTCTGTCATTAAGAGTTGTGTGTGACATTAACCCCTTAAGGACACATGACGTGTGACATGTCATGATTCCCTTTTATTCCAGAAGTTTGGTCCTTAAGGGGTTAAACATAAGGAATAATTTATTCAGGGTCATAATTGTCATAAATATAAGATGAAGATTAAAGGATAAGATGAAGATTAAAGCATCATGACCACTTCATTGGTTTGAAGTGGTCATGGTGCCTGGAGTCTGTATGTGCAGCGTTTCACTTGCTGGTAATGTAACTCCACCTCCAATAGCATCATTAGCCAATCCAGAACAAAGTTCCCCTGTCGGGCAGCACTCTGCGCTTCCTGAATCTGAAAATTCAGGAGCTGGATGCAGTCTGGAGGAAATGGACATTGCTGCTTGGAGGCAACTTCGGGTGGTTTAACCCCCTTGAGGTAAGGGGTAAGAATGCCTCTGGGTACCTGCTTGCACCATAACTTCATTTAGAATTGGAGAGTCCTTTAAGTAACACTTTTTCAGTTGTTTAAAATGATGCGATAAATGCTGCTCAGGAGATGGAGAGCACCTATTCTGCCTTCTACAAGTAGTTTCTGACCTGGTGGTCCATACGGGTGCAGAAGAGGCTATGATGTCACTTCAACCAAAAGGAAACTGAGGTCACCAGAAGACTGAAGTGGCACTAGGTGGTTCTTGTATCTGGGGTTATATTTGCTTATGATCAACCTGTAGTAACTGTGTTGGGAGATTGTAAATAATTCCAGCTTTATCTTCAGGGGCGAGTTTAAAAGGGATAGTTTAAATCTCTGGATAGAAAACTAGTCAGTGAGAACAGTTGATAGTATATTGGTGTACAATAGAATTCATTTATTCAATTTCATGTCCTCCAAAATACAGATAAGCCCCATTAACGATACGTTTTTGACAACACACCTTACTCTTGGTAACACACTGTAGGAGCACTTGCTCTGGATCCCTCTTTCTCTGCAGAGCAACAAAGTGGACTTGATACATACGCAGGCGCTTGTAGACAGTTTTTGCTAAGTCACCGACGTAGGATTTGGTGGTGTACCATAGCCAATACCTACACAAAAAAAAAACACAAAGAGGAGACTCTGATCAATAATGTGATAGCATGGGAAATAAGTAATATTAGAAATCATCGAAGGAGAGGACATAAAAAAAATAATTGAGGTCATCAATTTAACCAGGAAATGCGAACATTAAGTCGAAAAGCCAAATTTGAATTTTTTTCTCAATTGAGCTATGTTCCAGCTTGGGCTTTGATGTAATATTTTTGGATAAGCTTTTTTGATATAATTATAATCTGTTTGAAAAACTTTCCAGGTAATCTATCTACAGACCTAGAGATGTCACCATTGAAAAAAAAAAATATATATATGATTTTTTTTTTTTTTGAAGATCATCATTTGGAAGGTTTTGGATTATCTTAATATCTTATCTAAAAAGTTAAGATTTGGTGGTCTCGGTTCTTTTGCTGTAAAATTTCTGATTCCCTTGTCATCACTCCACAATTGCCAGTTTAGTGGATAGACAAAAAGAGTCTAGAAAGAATGGACAAGGAGAGAGATAGATAAGATGGCTTGAAAGGAACATCTCAAAGAGCAAAGTCTCACCATGAGAAATGATCCACTTCGAAGCGGGCATAGATGTGAGTGATCTCCAGTACGACCTGGCTTGTTATATCTGTCCAGTTCTGTGCTTGTTTATCTCCATGTAGGAGAACCAGGCAAGATCTATCCAAACCAGTACCTGTTTCTCAAAGCAGAAGGAAAACAAAAGACATGTTTAGGCATCATAATATAAAAAAAAAGGTATTGGATTCACACGCAGAACTTACATTTCCCAGCGGTGATGTGGCTGTAAAGACCAAAATACAGATTATAGAACAGAGCAAAAAAACAGTTTTTAATCTTACAAGGCTATTTAAAAGCACCTTTTTGGCAAACAAATATGGGAATTCGGTTCCACCATATGGCTAAACCATTTTCCTGGCACTGCAGGTGCCTCTCCCTCCCACCCCCCATCCCAAGTTGCTGAAGGGGTGAAAACCCCTTCAGTGACTGTATCCGATGTCCCTCGGCGCTGGGTCAGGCTCCACCTATGGGGAGACCTATTGCGCATGCGCGGCCGGCAGCGGGGGAGACCTAATGCGCACGTGCATTAGACCTCCCCATAGGAAAGCATTGAATAATGCTTTCAATGCTTTCCTATGGGGATTTTGGCAACGCTGGAGGTCCTCACCTAGCGCGAGGACATCCAGCGTCGTTATAACACACTTTTCGTGTTCTATGGACACGGAAGTATCCTCTAGTGGCTGTCTAGCAGACAGCCACTAGGGGAGGACTTAACCCTGAAAGGTAAATATTGCAGTTTATGAAAACTGCAATACTTACACTTGCAGGGTTAAGGGTAGTGGGAGTTGGCACCCAGACCACTCCAATGGGCAGAAGTGGTCTGGTTGCCTGGAGTGTCCCCTGCCCCCACCTTGCTTATCTCATCATCGCAAGCAGCATCATCTGGTCCCTGTCTCAGGTGCACTGCAGGTGCTCTGCACTCAGACCCACTCGTCAACAGGCCCTGCCAGGCCCATTTGGATATTGGCAAACTGGGCAATTGCCTGGTGGGCCACAATGGACATGGCACAAGGCCATCAGGAGAGATAATTTTGCAGAGCTGATGCTACCCAAGTGCCAGCCTTGCTGTGTGCCCGTTCACGGGCCTGTGGATAGGTAAAATATCACCCTAACCAGCTCAGGGCTACTTACAGCAAGAGAGGAGAGGGAGCAACAGGGAGGCTCTAGCCTGTACTTCCAGATATCCCTTTTGTGAGCTATGCATTTCCGAATGTTGCCACGAATTACCATGACAAAGCTACAAAACAGGACAATGCTGAAGCTCTCTAGAAGAGTGTATTCAACCTGTACTTTGAATAGATGAAGGCTAGAATCATTAAATACCACCAGGGTTTTCAATGCTCCCCTTCCTGGCCAAAGATAAGAAGAAATAAAAAATTTTAAATATAATATAAAAACCATTAAAAATGTGATGCCTCACCTGTTACTCCTGGTGGGAGGGGAAGCTGGATTTTAACAGGATTTAAAAAATTGGCAGTTGAACTCTGAGATAAGCATAGTAGGGGGCTGGTGAGGGAATTTGAGTCTCCTGTGATCTTCTTCAGCTCCTTTGCACGAACTGGTAAAACCTGGCAAAAAGGGGGTAAATCACTAAACCTGAAAGTCTTGCAGAGGCAGACAGAAAGAAAGCCTACCAGAAGAAGGAGGATTAGTTTGAAGAAAGAAAATACATTAAAAGAGGAATTACTAGGAGAGACATTTTAAATGTAACAATTTGATTACTAACTTGCATACGAACTGTTCTTGTGTCATTAGTTGCCCCGGGAGGGAAGAAAACTCGAATGCCATTGTCCACACTGGAGAATAGAGTGTTGCCCTCTGCTGGAACCTCACAATGATCTTCCACCAGACGTGAGACCACAAAGAACCATGAGAAGTGAAGGGTTCTACAAGTAGCCATCATCTAGATTGGATTTAAATAAAATAGAAGCTTAGTTACATCGACTAATGTATAAAGTCGGTTTGTGTTGTTCGTGAAAGTGATACATTACATGGTAATAAAGTCACGAGATGTGGCAGAATGCAAAAGGATGGAAATGTTTTTATTTTTTATGGTTCTTTGAAGAACAATGGGTGCCAGTCACAGCAAGGTAAGTGTCACACCTTTTATAAACCGTAGATTAGATTGGAGATTCCTCACTGTAGCAAGGATCTCCTCTCCTACTATACTAAACTGTTTGTATTCCTGATTATGTCATATAGAATAAATTAAAATGTCATATATGTATGTGGATGGGTGAAATATTTATTATTGCACATTTTTCTGTATCTGTGTTAAGGCAATAATGACTAATGTATACATACATGATAATATAAACATTCAAGGTAAGTGAGCAGAGACTACCTTATAGATGTCATATGAAGTGACAGTACATTACCTCGTGGGTCCTCTTCACAGTAGTGGTATGCAAGTCAGTCCAGGTTTGGCCACTTAAAGTCCTGATTACAATCTCCCGCTTCTTCAAAGACCCTGGGGAATTGACAGGAATAGCAATATCCACATCCTATTATAAGAAATAAAGGGAAGATTAATATGTAATATATCCAAACCTCCTAATAATCCAGCCTTATTTAATATATTGTATGATTGCTATCTCTACCAGTACACAAACACCTCATTATGTTATCTCTCCTCTCAAGTGAGAAGATAACACTTTGTCCATTATATTTGTTAATTATATATAGGTGAGCAGAGGGACAATCAAAGGTCACAACAAATCCACAATAATAAAAAGAAGAAACTAAAAAAAAATGAATTGCACCGTTTGTCACCATCTAAATAAAATTTTTACCCATGCCAAGACAGGTAAACGAAATACTTATTCAAAAATGTCTCTCTAAATACAGTGAGTAGCCTCACCTGGTGGAACTGAATGCCATGGGGTCGTAACTCCAGAATTCTACTGAGAAGGATATCATGGTGTTCAAGTTTCACATGTTGCTGGTCAGGAGGCAGAATTTGGAAATAGATTGTGATGGTGGAAGTGACGGCTCCGAAAGGAAAATAAATCTCGGTGCCACATGGAAGATAGACACGGCATCCATTGGGAATGATGAGGAAACTGCAAATAAGTATAAAAAGATGGCTTACTACAGGTATCTGGACATCAAAATAACTTCATTTTTTGTTCCTTGTATGATTCCAGTATATGAATGCAGACAGCAATTGATCTCCATTTTAAATATTTAAAAAATAATGTAGGGTTATTTCAGGTGAAATTACAAAAAATAAAATGTTTTAAAAATCTACTGGTCCATGGGACTAAAGTGGTAGCCCAATCTACTTGTCCTGACACAAAAAATGTGATTTACAAAGACTGTCATGTTTCTGATCAGGTCAGATAAGAGACCTATACCAGGGTAAAGTTTAGGTTCTTTATTTGTAAACTTTGAAATAGTTAGTCAAGCAAAGCAATGCAGGACTTAAAGGGAAGTGGAAATAAAATAGACAAAGGGAGAAAGCAGAACCTTTAAATGAGATTACAGGTAAGTATATTGAAGGCTATAAAATAGAGTTTAGACAAAAAGTCCCAGACAGTTTATAAAGTAGCAGGAAAACCTATAAATGAGATTATAGCAAGAAGGTGGAAGGAGAACGTATAAACGAAATTATAGGCAATAGGTAGAATGAGAACCTATAAGCGAAATTATAGGCAAGTTTAAGGAGAGATAACAGAAAAGAGAGTTAGGCAACATTGGCTGAGAGTGGTCAGCTGATGCTCTCAGCCACTAAATGGTGACGGCTGCTGTTTCTGGATTCTGCAGAAGCCTAAGGGCGTCACTGGACTACCAGGGAGCATCTGAGACCAGCTGGGACCCAGCTTAGGGAGCAAACCATTGCTAAATCATTGCTAGGTCAGGGTATTCCTGGTATCATAAGCACTACAATGAAATATAGTGGTTACGATGATTGGAGTAACCCTTTCATTTATTAAATGCTTTGGGTGAAGCTGATACTAACTGCTTCATAAATAGTGGGAAGGGAGATTGCAAGATCAGTGGCAGAGTAATTGTGCACAACAAAGTACAAGAATCCGTTATATACAAGTTTGAAGTCCGAAGAGTTTCAAATTGTTCCTAACTAATCATTTTAATGTCTTTAATACTGTTACAGAGCAAGATTGATGTGAGAATCTGACCTACAAAAACAAACAAAAAAACAATGCTTTCAGTTAAGGGGGGAAACTTACTGGACACAATTCCAAAAATAGTCTAGTACAGATGCCCAGGGCACAAAAATCAATCACAAAATGTGTTCCAACTGAATAACACTCACCCCACCAAATCCTGTAACCACTAGTCAAACCAATATCATGATAAGCAGTATCCACACAACATTCACAGCAAATCAGACACACCGTATTGCACAACTTGGAATATAAGAGAGTTTCTGTATAGTTACTGAGGCAAAATATAGTTAATGATGCAGTGTATCACTTCATACCGATCATCTTCACGTTTTAGGTGGATCTCCTTTATCTCCAAGCTTCGAATCTCATCTGTAAAACAGAAGAGAAACAATTAAACCATTCTGTCATGTGTTAATTAGATGGAAGTTATAGACATGTAGAAGTTCGCTATTTCAGCCTATTATCATACTCCAGACATCTTGTAACCAGTTTAACCCCTTAAGGACACATGATGGAAATATTCCGTCATGATTCCCTTTTATTCCAGAAGTCGTGTTCTTAACCCCTTAAGGACACATGACATGTGTGACATGTCATGATTCCCTTTTATTACAGAAGTTTGGTCCTTAAAGGGTTAAGGGGTTAACCATATTACACAAAATGGTGCTTTGGACCTCCAGGCACCATACAAATTGAGATGATGTTGTTATGGTGCCTGAAGTGTTTCTTCAAGAAAAAACCTTTCAACATGTTTCTAACTCGGTTTGGACACAAATCAAGATTGCAATATCTCATTGACATATCCTGGCCCGATGTATATGCAGTCTGAATGTAAATGTGCAATGGATGTGTTTTGTTGAGTCTGCAGATGTACAACCAGAGAGAATATTTTGTAAGATATTCTACTCACGGTTTTCAAAAAAAAAAATAACCGTCCCGCCCTAGATATTAAATAATGGAAGTTCTCCTTTCAAAATATTTAAGCTCTGCTTCTTTTTTATAGTTTAATCTTGCCCTAAGAAGCTGAGGATTTATCTTTTTTTTGTGTCTTTTTTTGGCATTGAGACCACCCAGGTGACGCTCATCCTTCTATTTTTAAGAAGCTATGTCCTGTAAACCAATAATGAGGTTAATTTAGCGGAAGATCCTGTTATTGAACCAGGGCTAAAATTACACACTGATAATTCATTAAAGTGAGAATTGTCATGAATTTAAAGTTAATTCAAAGTGAGGCAGGCAGGCAGGCCGCGGAGAGATCACAGCGGTGAGGGAGAAAAGGTAAGTAAAAGTAAAGTACCCTTCCCCTAAACACTGAGAAGGTCTCCGTTGCGTCAGGGATACATGTTTTTATTCCTAACGCTATAGTGTTGCTTTAAGGCAAAAGCAGCTAAACCGGAGAATGTTTCTGTCAGCTATGCTTCCAGTTTGGCTATTTTGACCTTACGTTTGAAATTCACTTTGAAATCCTGGCAATTCTCACTGTAGTGAATAACCCTGACAGTATTTGAAATTCTAAAGTTTACGTTATTGATTCAATGTTTATTTGTCTTAATCCCTGCACCAAAATGCAGAACTAACTAAGGTATGGATAGATAAATAAGACAGGAAAAAACAAAATTTCAGTTTTTTCACTATACTTGTCCAGGCAGTGGTCCATAACGCTCGTTGCAACAACGTAATGATAGTGCTTCAAACTTTAATTATGAAACTTTAACACAGCAAGCTTGCATGCTGTGACATAAAATAAACTTAGGTTACAATTTAGAAATGGTCAAAAAAACTGAAATGTTTCCTTCCTTTTCGGTAATTTCTCTTCGATACTACTGCATCCCCCTTTATTTAATGTCTGCGGAGAGCATCAGTGGTTCATTACCACAATCCTGTCTTTTACGGGATATTTTCCCCTTTCAATTTTTTGGCTAGTGATATTTTTCCTCAGACTATTATTCCCTAAATTATTCATCACTCACCATCTTCAAACAAATCCTATATTTTATTTTTTTAGGGCATTTTTTTTTTTTTTTTTAAACACAACACTGAATCCTTTAACTCTGGTTAAAATATAATTTTAGAAAACAAAAAAAAAAATCTGTTTCTCATTCCCTGTTAAATTGTGAATTGATAACTTACCTTCAATGGTAGGCAATGACTCTGGTTCCCCTATCGGGTTTCCTTTGAGGTGTGCACAGGAGCAGTTTAAGATTTCTTGGGGAACATGACGTAAGCTATTGTACATGAGGTTCAGATTGCACAGATCAGGGAGTCTGGCCAGGCCAGCGGATATACTGGCAAGCCTGTTGTTTTGAAGACTAAGCTGTTTTAAAAATGTCATATGACCTGCAGAGTGAGACATAAGTGAAAAGGTCAACAGATTTACTTTCTCATATTTAAATTGCATTCAAAAATTATTTTTAAAAATATATATTTTATTTTTCACTTTATAATGCATTAAATTAGGAAATAATTTTATCCAATATGGTAAAATTATTTCCTATTTTAATGCATTAAAAAGTGAAAAATTAAATATTTTAATAAAAATTTAAAAAACGATACAGGTCTGCAAGCAGCAATGAAGGTGCCAAGCAATAGATCCTGTATACAACAGAGATGGAACAACCATAAGTAGGCACAAGCGGATGCCTAGGGCACACTGCCAATGAGAGAGCAATTACCAGGTGACCTGCCGATCACTCCATGTAGCGTGACTGAGTGGAGCGCAGGTATCCTCTACCTGGTCTGACAGGAAGAGCTCACTGACAGCCACAGACAGCATCCTGTCAGACCAGGTAGAGGATACAGAAGATCATCCACTGTGGTATACTCAATCATGCTATATGGCAGGAGGTCAGCAGGCACAGGAGTGGGGGAGAGACCACAAAGGATGGGGAGGGTGGAAGAGACACATAGAAGGGCTGCAGGGAAGAATAAGACGTACATAGGGGCTGGGAGGAAAAAGAGACATGAAGAAGGGCTGTGAGGGGGAGAAAGAGACACATCGAGGTAGGGATCGAACGATTATCGGTCTGGCCGATATTATGGGCCGATATTCTGTATTTTCAGATAGTAAAGATACTGATATTGCCGATAATGCAGACCAGTGCCGCCATCAGGGTCCTTACTCTTACTTACCTTCCCAGCAGCTCCCTTCAGCTCCCCTGTCTAAATCTTATGAGTCCCGCAGCCGTCAGAGCGTTACCACAGGTTACCATAGCAATGCTCTGCGTGGCACGCAGGCCGCAAGAGTTATACAGGGGAGCTGAAGGGAGCTGCTGGGAAGGGAAGTAAGAGTATGCTGGGCCCCCCAGGGAATGCCATATCCCCCTCCCTGGTCAAGTAAGAAGCAAGGAGGGGAGACTAAAACAAATTTTTAAAATTTTTTATATTTTAAAGAAAACAAAAAGTTATAAAAATGCACACCCCCATTTTACACACATTACATACCTACACAAACACTAACTGCGCAAACAAACACACACACTCTGCATTCATTATATACACACACTACACAAACACACTGCATTCACTATACGCAAAACTGAACAAGGAATAGAGCAGCACTAAACAAACACTAGGATGGGAGGCAGCATACCTGATAATAGGAGAATCCCTCCAACCCCCAAGAAAACCAGAACAATTCAAACAACAATATACAGGTAGCGCCAAGAAAAATACTTCAAACACAATAGTATATAATAATAAGAACAAGAAAATCAATAAGAGCAATAAAAAACCCACAGGATATAAAAAAAGAGTCCACAATAAAACTTAAAAGGATAAAATAATACCAAATGGTACAGCACAGTCTCAAAGGTGCCAATAGATCTTCTAGTCCTGGTATGGGGCTTTCTTGGTAGCTTCACTTAATAGCAGAATATGAAAAAGAAGCAGAAACAGAGGCAAACCAATAGTGCAATATGGTAGTACGTAGTAGGACAAACGACACTTAGATAAGATGTCAACTCACATATGGTAGAGCTATAACCAGCTCTAGGTAAAACAGCATGCAGTGGTATATAATCCCCACTTGCAGGATATACTTCTGGTTTTGGTAAACAGTAGAATGATGGTAAATCACAACTGGTTAACGATTAGGTAGATCATATGGAATGACAAAAAAAGCAGCCAATAGTGCTCTCTATACAGACAGGTAAGTATCAATAAGGTCAATAAAAAATATACTTACAATAGAGTGAACAGACTAACTGCTCTATGTAGCAAGCCTGGGTGGTATAATCCCCACCACGGATTTATTTGGTTGGTTGACCACAGTAGGTAATGGGTCCAGTTGTCAGGTAAAATTATAAAAATAAATAATAATAATATTGCTCTTATTGATTTTATTGTTCTTATTATTATATACTACTGTGTTTGAAGTATTTCTCTTGGCGCTACCTGTATATTGTTGCTTGACTTAATCACTATACACACACTACACAAACACACACTGCATTCACTATACACACACACTACACAAACACACACTGCATTCACTATACAAACATCCACTGCATCCACTACACAAACACACACACACACTGTATTCACTAATCAAATACTCTCACTGCATCCACTACACACACATATATTCTCGAAAACATGAAATATTCTGACTGGCATGCATATTTTGGGCATTTACCTTAAATGAACACTATAGTCACCTACATTACTTTAGTTAAATAAAGCAGTTTTAGTGTATAGATCATTGCCCTGCAATTTCACTGCTCAATTCACTGTCATTTAGGAGTTAAATCACTTTGTTTCTGTTTATGTAACCCTAGCCACACCTCCCCTGGCTATGATTGACAGAGCCTGCATGAAAAAAAAAAAACTGGTTTCAAACAGATGTAATTTACCTTAAATAATTGTATCTCAATCTCTAAATTGAACTTTAATCACATACAGGAGGCTCTTGCAGGGTCTAGCAAGCTATTAACATAGCAGGGAATAAGAAAATCTTAATTAAACAGAACTTGCAATAAAGAAAGCCTAAATAGGGCTCTCTTTACAGGAAGTGTTTATGGAAGGCTGTGCAAGTCACATGCAGGGAGGTGTGACTAGGGTTCATAAACAAAGGGATTTAACTCCTAAATGGCAGAGGATTGAGCAGTGAGGCTGCAGGGGCATGTTCTATACACCAAAACTGCTTCATTAAGCTAAAGTTGTTCAGGTGACTATAGTGTCCCTTTAATAAAAAAAGATTTGCAAAAAAATAAATAAATAATAAACATGTTTAGTTAACAGTAGATTTGTGCAGAAATTGTTTATTTGTTTAAAATGGTAAATGTACAGAATATCGGTATCGGTAAGTTATCGGCTATCGGACTGAAAGTTCACATATTATCGGCTCTAAAAAATTAATATCGGTCGATCCCTACACTGAGGGGCTGTGGGTTGGTGGGAAGAGACACACACAGAGGGGATGGGGGAAAAAAAGAGACAGCCAGGTGCTGGGGAAGAGGAAAAAGAGAAACACCGAGGGGTTAGGGAAGGGGTGAGGTGAGAAAGATACAAACAAAGGATCTGGAGCTAAGAAACACACAAAAGGAGTTTGGAAAAGAATGACATGGAAATGTGCTTGCGGAAAGAGAAACGCACAAAGGGGCTCGGAGAATGTAAGAGATACACAAAGGGGGGGAGTAAAAGACACACAAGGGGGTTGTAAGAGACACACAAGGGGGGTTGTGAGAGACACAGAAGGGGAAAAAATGTGGGATAAGAAACATTAAAGCAGGCAAGACATTCAAAAGTGGGGATAAGTAACACAGCATAGGGGTTGAGAGAAACACAAGTGAAGATGCATTATTATGTTTTTTGAAGTGGGGGGGACAGCAAAATGCATCTTCACCTGGGTAGCCAAAAGTCCTTGCACCGGCCCTGGATACAGCACATACACAGATATTACAGGTAGGGCAGTAAATAGAAAAGATATATTTTGTATAAACCTATTTAAAGATATCTCAAAACTGGTCACATGACACACAGGCTCTATATCGTAAAGGACATGCACTCTAGAAATGCATTATCACACCAATTTTAAAGGCTTTTTTTGTTAAGAAGTTTTGATCTTGCGGTTATTTGATATAATACATTTAAATAAATTTGACAATTTCAAAATGCCTGCCAAACCACATGGCTGATTGACAAATTGACAAAAAGATTTCAAATTTGAAGTGGCTACTGGCATTTGTGACTTTTGCACCCATAGTACATCGGTACAATTGACAACAATCTCAATATGGCTGGAAAACAACATGATGAATTCACCAATAACTTTGGCCAAGCATAAGAGTATGGATAAAGCGCCGGCATATGTATTGTAAAGAGAAGTAAGTTACAGAGATGTCAAATTCAAAATGGCTGCTGACCTTTGATCCTCATATTAGCTTTGGCACTTTTACTATTGAGTAATCACATATTTAAAGGAACACTTAAAACCACCTTAAACCCTCCAGTTTGCTGAAATACTTAAGTGGTTCAAAGAGTTTTACCTACTTCTCATTTCATAAAAGTGGTGATTTCAAGAGACATAGGCACTTTTACAAAGGCCAACCAGATAGCCAGGAGGGTGCCTTACGCCCTTGCACAGGGGTAGGCAAAATTCTGCACTCCAGAAGTTGTGGACTACATCTCCCCTGATGCTTTGCCAGCATTATGGCTGTAAGAGGATTGTAGGAGATGTAATCCACAACATCTGAAGTGCCAAAGGTTTCCTACCCCTGCTCTAGCACAAAGCAGAGATGACAGCTTTTTATAAAGAAGCATTGGTTTTAATGCTTCTCTATGAGGACCATTGCAAACTCAGCACAGTTGCCATGCAGAATTCTTGATAGAGAAGCACACTGGAATATGTGCTTTTAGCAGTTTCTAATACAGTTCAGTTGTGAAATAAATGCAAATTTATGCGGTTCTGTGACACCTTGAAGGTTTTTGGCTAGTGTCAGTAATTTTGATACTGTTGTAGTTTCTGCGACAGAGAACAGGAAAACATGCTGTATGTAGGTTTTCCTGGTCTCACCTATCACTCAACTTTTAAAATTGTGTTTGTAAGAAATACTCACACAGTGTTTCGGGAACACCTGTAAGGCAATTATCTGACAGGTCCAGCTCAGTGCAAACTTTCAGACAGCCTATCTCTTCTGGGAGAGACTCCAGTTTGTTCCCAGACAGGTACAATTTATCCAGTTTCCGAAGTTGTCCAATAGCTGCTGGTATCTCAGTCAATTGGTTGAACATAACAGAGAGGTATGTCAAGTTGACCAGGTTACTGATGTCTTCTGGGAGAGTTCTAAGGTGGTTGCAGGAAAGATGAAGTTCTGATAGACTAGTGAGGAATGTGAGGCAGGATGGTAGTTCTGTGAAACTGTTATAGCTAAGGTCCAGGTAGGTGAGTCTTTTCAGGTTACAGAGCTCGGATGGAAGAGAGGTCAGTAATCCATGCTGACATTTGCCTAGCTCATCTCTTGCTAGTCCACCTGTGGTGTGATAAAAAGGAAGATAATACAGGTTATGATTACCATACTTATTCCCAAACTGTTATCTTTTAACCCCTTAAGGACCAAACTTCTGGAATAAAAGGGAATCATGACATGTCACACGTCATGTGTCCTTAAGTTTAAAGGAAAGCTTTTATAAGTTTATAATTATTATTTAAAATAAAACTGCCAAGGATTTTTTATATTATTATGTTTAACTATCCCTTTATATACAAAATGTATTTTTATTTTTGTTAGACTGTAAAAATGAAAATTTGTTGTTCAAATCCACATCTCTTTAATTGGTACTTACATTGAAAATAACTTTGAAAATGTCTTATAACCTGTGTTTTCATGAGATGCTCCATTTTCAGACAGGGCAAAGACAACATATAAACATTGTTTAATTTCTCCTCTTCTAGGTATGCTTTCTCTATACAGACTTCCCAACACAAAGACAGACGGTATAATAATGATTGACAGGGAGCTAAGATGGAGGCACTCAGTTGCTGGATAAATGTAGATTTATTCATATACTTTTATTTTATTACACCGCACACATGTGTGTTTGTTATATATGGGGAATCAGTAACCATACTATTAAAAAATTTAGGAACTCACAGTTCCCCTTTAAGCAATGACATAATCTAGAGACCAAGGGTGCCCAAATGGTAGATCCCCAGATGTTGTAGAACTGCAACTCCAATGATGCTTTGCATACCTTTAAAATGACAAAGCATCATGGAAGCTGTAGTTTCCAAACATCTGGGGATCTACCTACTGGGCACCCCTGATCTATGCACAGCTACATGAACAAGTTGATTTGTAGCATCCGTTGCACATACTGCACCTTATACCTGATGAGTTACAATAATCGGTAGTAAATCAGACTGGCATATCTGAGAAAATGAAAACCCATCAATACCAGTCAAACAGCAGAGATTAAAAATAGAAAGCTCACCAATATACACTTAAACTACTGGTGCAAAACAACTTCATTACGCATGACATATTGAAGTTGTTGACACAGTACATTTGTGCAGAGGAGCAGTTTATTTACCCCTTAAAGGGAACCTATAGTCCCAAAAATTACAATTGTATAATTTCAGGACTACATGTTCCCTTACAGGTTTGCCATCACTGCCCACCCCCCTTTGCTCTGTAAAATTAGATTAGATAATGTTTACTCACCTTGTTCCCAGCACCGCGGCTCCTCCACTGCAGCCTCCAGCTTCTCCCCAAGTGATGTCAGCACCCAAGCTGACATCACCTGCGATTTCCTCCAATCCATTGCTTCTCATAGAGAACCAATGGATTGGAACTATGCATGCCCCACCAAGCGTTATGCTCTTCAAACCAAATGCTGTTATTGGCAGCGTTTGATTCCAGGTCTGAGTTTCACTCGCTTCAGGAGGAGGAAGCTCCTGTAGTGGCTGTCAGAAAGGCAGCTACCGGAGGCTTTAAAAAAAAAAATAATAATAATAAAGGTTATTCATTAAAGTTAGAATTCAAAGTGAAATTCACATTTTACGCTGAAAGCATAGATGACTTGGAAAATGTTGATTTAAATTTGAAATTCACATAGAATTCTTACTTCAGTGAATAACCCTGAATGTGTATAGAGTGTGCTTCTGGGATCTATATCTCTACAGACCACCTGCTTTTTCTATAGAACCATGAATTCCACAAATTGTTTCAGAACGGTGAAATATATCATTGCTGCTTTTTTTTCTGAAAAAAAAAATGTATTCTTGGTTACCCTATTATTGTGTAAACAGCAAGATCATGCAACAGAAATTAAGATGCTGAATACTACTATTCTACGAGCAAAATGGAATAATTATATTCTCACCTTTCAAGACCAAGACACGGAGCTCATGGAGGATATGCAATGCACCTACAGCCTGACTGATTTGTGCATTATTGCTGCTAAGGTGGAGTATTTCAACCTGTTCAAGATCACCTCTCTTTGCCTCTGTCAGCTGTAGAAAGCACTCGCATCCGTCCGAGCGATACTCCAGAACGAGCCTGTCCCCTGCAATGGGAGATGAGGGACTGACTGGTTCCTCTGTGCTGGTTCCCACCCACTGGGAGTCCATCTTGCATTGTCTGAGCGTAGCAACACGGGCATGTCACAGCTCGCCCAGCACAGAGACGATGCCAGCTAGACCAGGGTAATAACGATCTGCAGAGAGAGAGTGACAAAACACAATTAACAGAAGGAAAGGTGTAAAGTGAAAGCATAATATAAAAGATTTTTAAAAAAGTGGCTTAGAGGAAAATATATCTCATCAACGCATCACCAGGCATAAAGAAATAAAATAAATATAAAAAGGAATCAAAATTACAAATATACATAGCTATACTAGCGTATATAACAGTCCCCTAATCATTGTAGACCACGTTTACAATTTCCCACAGCAAAATGCATGAAATCATAAATATTATAAGCAAAATAAGGCTTTAAAATGGCCATATCACAATGCTGACTTTAAAAAGTCAAGAGTTATTATAGTATGCAGAAAGTTTAGGGATACATAGTGTTTTGGGAACTTAGACCTTCACCTCGCTTTGAATAACGGTTAGATTTCCCAGGAATGTCGAAAGCTGACAACTTCTACCTTAAATCTTCCATAACGCTAAGCCTCTGTATGCTAAGTCCCCCCTAACCTAGACTCCCCTTATTACAAGGGAACTCCTAACCGCTCCAAAAATATAGAGATTTTAAATACTACTGTAATAAGGTTGCTCACTTGTGAATGCAGAAAATTTTTAGAGGTGATCAAAAAACACTTATTTAAAACATAGCATTGTGATTGCACAATGTAGCAGTCTGTAGCTACATACTCTACAGTCTTCTCACAAAAATGAGAATTTTATTAAAAACAACAAAAAAATTATCCTGCCAAATTTAGGCAAAACAAGAAGCGTTTTGGAAAACTTCCATTGGGTCTGCATTAGAAATTTGATCAAACTCTACTATATCCGACTTGATCAGGTCACCCAAAATGCACTATAAGTTAAATACAACGCCTTGCCTTCATGGACAAACATCTTACAACTAATCGTTTAGTGAACAAACCCCCAATTCCATATTTTTTTTTACACTCTCTTTTCAATAACACAGAATAATACTGAAAGCAATCACACTAAGAACGACAAAATAACATATTATTAGGATTACGGTGGAGTGTATTTTTAAATCAATCTGCCAATGCAGACACCTCTATAAAGAGTAAACATATTTCTACAGACAATTTGAACTTTACATTTAAAATGCATTTTCAAACAATTGCTTTTACTCATATGTTTTGAATAATAATTGGAACACATGCTCAGCCCTCTTTTTATACCAATACCAAAAGAAAATCATTAGTATACTCACTAAGAAATCACGAATGTCAGGACTGGCTGATCAATGATCCCTTTGTTCTTCTATGTAAAAACACATAAACCATCACATATAGGATTTTATGTTTGTGCAAAGGTTGGAGATACATGTATAAAACAGTGAATTAGTTACAGCAAGTTCTCTGTATTTCTGCCATTGATACACTTTTTAACTTCCTGGTTGTACAGGACAGAAGGTCTCTACGACAACAAATGGGGCAGGGCTTCAAATCTGGATGGCTACTCTTGCCCTCCCCCACCCACCCATCTTTGTGAGGCTTGTCAGGATATGTGTTCTAAAAGAACTGGGAACACTTGATTACTGTTGCCTCAGTGATGAGGAGAAACAGTTATCCCACTAAAGTTTCAGAGATTTCAAACAAAGCTGTTTCCTCATTTTAATTTATTGAGATTATTTTTCTGAGGCTCTGGCTATTTTTCATATTCATATATTTTTACTGAACGAGAGCATCGTATTTTTGGGGGTGATTTCTTATATTAGGGTATTTTTTTATCATCGGACTAGTTTTATTAATATTAATTTTAATCAAGGTGTAACTTTGTATTTAGAAACATTGTATAGTAACAATCATCAGTGCGTGGAATTTAAATCACTTTGACCCTACCATAAAATACCCTTAATTTAGATATTACCTTATCTATAAATGTGAGTTTGTATGATGTGAAAAATAAAATTAGATATAGAAATTCACATACTCAGTCATTTGCTAAATCGTTAAAATTATATGTGGTTTTGAAATGGTTCGCTCATGTGCAATTTCCAGAAAAGTGACAGTTCCCCTTTTAAGCTGTGGATGAGACCTGAGTACAGTTAAATGTAGTTGCTGGGATGATGGGATCATGACGAGTTGTACCACTAACTATAAATTATATGGGCAAGCAGACTGCCAAGTTCGGCAATGTTGAAACAGTTATTGACAGATCTGCACTAAAACTTAAAGCACTATAACCACTACAGTGAGTCAGGAGATTTAGAATGATTTGAGTTCTTGCATTGGGTCCACCAGGTATCACTCCCCACCTCCTCTCAACCTTCATGAAAGTCAACAGCTGCTGTTTAGTAGCTTCCATTAGCTCTCTCAAGTGAAACGCTGCAGTGTAGGCTGGCTTATTGGCTGAGAGCATCACTTGAAAACCCAGGTAGTCAAACCATTCTAAAACAGTTTGACTACTTACAATGGGGTGCGATCAGGGCACTCCTGGCACCAAAACCACTGCAGTGGTGCTTGGAGTATTCCTTTACCAATAGAGTACACAATAAGTTGTAGTGGTTATGCTACTTGGTGTGTCCCTTTAAAGTTTACAAACCTGATGTGTCCCACAGGATTGTGTTATCTGTAAGTGATAATTACAAGGTATAGAGAAAAACAGTAGCGTATGCTGCAAACCTTCTCTTTGTCAGGATCAAACCAATCATTAAATATTCCCTAATGACATAAGCCTGTATTCACACACGTAACATCGAGGTTTGCTATCCAGTAGAGAGGATAAGTCACTTACATTTTATTTTAAAACTATAAAATCAATATTGGATGAGTATAAAAGGGAATAATAATCAGGATATTTTCTGTCACAGATATTTTTATGTGTATAATGCATTCCAACATATATTTGTAAACGTAAGAAAATAATTAATTACATCATCACTTTTCAGTACATCACTTAGCCTTGCTCTATTGGCAGCCATTTTGTCCCTTTAGTCAAACAAAAGCTGACCAAAAGCTGTGCTGATAATATGGGTTTATATGAGTCCACAAATCCTGAAATCACGAGCAAACACAGGACATCCCGGTCTCAGGCGGACCACCCCAGAGGCTATGGAAGCAGCCCCAACAAACTCAAGATGAAACCAATATGGCGGAGACCACGAGCGGGACACCAGGCCCCACACGAGAGAACGACATCCTGGCGCGGATAAACGCCACATTCGCTACATTCTGGGCAAAGCTCGAGGACCGACTGAGCATTTCCAACGCTCGGGTCCCAGACCCACCATCACATCGCACCCGCCCTGCCTGCTCACCCAGCAAAGCCATGCGCGCCAAACAAACACGGCGTCAAAGAAGGTGCACTCTCCGGCGGGCGGGGGCACGGACATGGCGGCGCCCGACAACGACTACCACCCGGCACAAGACATGGCAAGCCGCACCCAAGCACACAACTATAGTGCGGCCCGCAGCGAGAGCCGGGAAGAGCTTGCGCTCCCACATGGGAGGTACCCGCACCGGCAAGAGGGTCTGGAGGGACAGTGGTCTGCCCACACCCCATCAAGCGACCAAGGTTGTACCTGGAACACACAGACCTGGAGGTTGGGATGGGTGAGTCCCCAAGCAGCATACAAACCCTGGGAAACACCCATGAAGGCATAGGCTAAAGGGGACTCACTGGGACATGGGGCAGGAGGCATGAGACACACAACCTCTGGTAGTGGCATACTATCGCTCCCTCTAAGCCAGGACTCATATTGCCTCAAGGTAACCGAACCGCTTTCAACACTGATCCCCTGACCCCCCCCAAACCACCCGACCCTAACGATTAAGCTGCAACTCCAACTCCACGCTCCTGTCAGCGGAGAGATGAGGGCTGCCGACGGGGATGGAATACCTGAACAAACATGAGATCACAATGTGGACTAATAATGTCACTCAGATTATTATAAGCGATGACTTTGCTTCTTAGCTTAGCGAGCTATACCCTGCTCCCTGTGAAAACCCTCCTGAGCCTAGAAAGTGAAGCGACACAAGCATAAGTTGGTAATTTTGTCTAGTTAAGTAATGGAGGTACACACTTACACGAACCGGAGACAAAACAGCTAAGCCTATAGTTAAGCCTCGGACCGTGCTAATTGTTTTAAAAAGTATGCATTATATTGTACAGACAGGGAAGCACTATAGCTGCTAAGCTAAACCACAACCACACGTTACTTAAATACCTATCGTTCTGCCTACACATGATAAATGTCTTCTTTGTTAATTAAAAAATGTGCACGTAATTTCAAATGCCCCATTGTTAAAAGGGCTTAAAATCGGTGTGAGGAATGCCACTGGGGTACCTTACGCATATTGTTACCTTTCATTGCACTGCAAAAAAAACAAAACAAAAAAAAACATTTAGACAGTTGCAATTTGTCTTCTGCGTCAAGACTGTGTTTGTCAGAGGATTCCAAGAAGTAGACAAACTGGAGGAGCACCTTGGATGAAAAGGGCCTCTCAGCCTGCCTTATTTAGTCACCAAACTTCAAAAGGTCCTTGAGCAGGCTTGGCCCTATACTTTATGGATTGCCTAGCCATGCTGTTTTTGGGGATTGCATATATCGTTAGAACTGGAGGTTCGTATGATGATTGCCAATGGCAATGTACGTACACCATATGTCCTTTGTCATTAAAGGTTTAAAGAGTTTTTTCCAGCACATGGGATTAAATGCACACTGCGGGCACCCAGACCACTTCATTTTATTGAAGCAGTCTGGGTGCAGTGTGCCTGTCCACCTTAAATCCAGTGCTGAGTGAAACTCCCTTTACTGATCTTTCACACCCCCTCCGATGTCACAGTGGTCAATCACAGGCTGCACACAAAGAATGAATAAACCACAAGTTTGAAAGTGTATTAGAGTGCTACCACGACCAAACTGATACTCCCTATTTAGCTAGCAATAAAACAATATATACCACTAGGTGGGCGCATGCAAGGTGTGTATGTAACCGAGTAAACTTGCAGAAGCCAGACACAGAGAGATGGATGCAGGTTTTCAGGAAGTAAGAGGTCTTTATTAACATACCGATTGGGTCTCAGATGAACTAACGTTCCAAAACAGGTCTGAGGGCCGAACACATGGAGTACATGCTTTTTATAGAACTATAACTGCTCCCATTTATAGCTCCACCCGCACATACCCTTAACCAATCAGTGGACAGGATTTGGATTTCCTCATATGGGCAGACCACATGGCTCATCTGAAACAAAGGAGAAAGGAATGTGATTTCCATTCCTGCATTCCCGCACATGCTCAGTACATTGATGACAGTATCTTAGCTACGTGTAACTAACTAACTGATACAACATACACATATGCCACATGGAAATCTCGGCCTACTAAATTTACATTTCACCGAAATTCCATCACCTGTATTTTGCTTGAAGCTAGTGTGAGCCAATAGAAATTCTTCCGAAAAGCATCCCAGTAATCATACAAAGGTATGTATCTCTTGATCAGATATCCATAAGAAATTCTGAATAAAATAAATTATTTATATGAAAAAGATAAAAATTAAAATTAAACAGATCATGTAACAAGCATCAAATTGCCTGCTACATAATTGCACTTACTACAATAAATTGAGCTATAAGAGCTACAAGCATTCAATGACTGTATTAGTCCACTGTGTGTGATCCTGACTATCTGTGTGCACTGATGATGGATGTATTTTATGCACAGAATGTGTGTTATGCACAGAAGAAGGTGTTGAATTATATATTTTAAAAAGACTAATTTTGCAGATGAAAACTAGACTGATTAGCTCTGGACCATGTGAGTGCTCCATATAAGATTTCTTGTTTTAATATATGTATTAAGGTTTTATACGATTTTCCACAATTTCTTTCTTTAAAGGTATACTTGTTAGCTCACTACAGATTGTTATTTATGCCAGTTAAGTAAGTTATTTGATATATTGCACTTAGCACAAATTTGCACATTGGTTGCACTTTAGAGGTAAATGAGGTAAGTGCTCCACTGTTTTATATCGAGTTTTCACTTTTTTGGGGTGTTTTTGGAGGTTTGCACATTCAGTGTAGTAGTTTCTGCTTTTTTAATAAATATTGTATTAACTAATACAAGTTTCCAACATACATCTCTTTTTTTTAATTTTGCAGATGGGTGAATCCCATAAACATTTATGGTCCCACATTCCTGTCACTTTTGTGCAGAGTTAATCTTTTTAAACTCATGACATTCCTGCATGTACTTCATGCACCTCCTCCTTAACGCTTAAAATTCTTAAATACTTAAGGTATGAGCTGGAGGAACTCTTGTGTTGCCATAAAAGTGCTGCGTCCCACTGTGAGAAGAAGGTTGTCGGTGGTGCCACGGGTATTGTCTGAAATAGGTAGAGGATTCTCGGGAGCACGTTCATCTTGAGTACTGCGATTCGTCCGTGCAAGGTGATGTGCGGATATGCCCATCTGTCAAGATCTGAGGTTACCTGTCGCAGAATGTTGGCAAAGTTATGTCGATAAAGTTCCTGCGGGTTTGTGGTGATCCACACTCCAAGCTATTTCATTTTCTCCGCGCACCAGCGGAATGGAAAGACTGTTCCCAATTCCAGGTATTCTTCCAGTGGAAAGGTTAGATTGAGTACTTCACATTTTGAAAGATTAAGTTTAAATCCTGCAATTTTCACGAATTTTTCGAATTCTAGAAGTAAGCAGGGCATCGTGACTCGTGGGTTAGAGATAAAGAAGAGAAGATCGTCCGCATATGCGGCCACCTTATGCTCCGTTCCCCTCCAATTGTATCCCGAGATGTCTGGGTTATGGCGGATCGCGTGTAGTAGTGGTTCCAGGGTCATTGCGAATAGGAGTGGCGACAAGGGGCATCCCTGTCTAGTTCCATTTTGAATCTCGAAGCCGGAGGTAAGGGCCCCGTTCACCCGGATAGATGCGTGTGGTTTATCATACAGGGCAGAGATCCACGTCAACATGTTCTGTCCTAGACCCATGGCCCTCAGTGTGTCCATCATGTATGACCAATTAACACGGTCAAAGGCCTTTTCGGCGTCCGTGGAAAGGAGTAAAATCTTGTCCCGCGTCTCTCGTGCTCTGTGTTGAATGGAGAAGAGGCGCAGTGTACTGTCTCGCGCCTCCCTCCCCGGTATAAACCCCGTGTGGTCTTCATGGATCAGGCTTGGCAGTACACGTTGTAGCCTAGTTGCTAGTACCTTCGTAAGCAGTTTTGTATCCACGTTTAGTAAGGATATTGGTCGGTAACTGCTGCACTGTTCCGGGTCTTTCCCTGGTTTGAGCAGGACCGTGATAGTGGCGGTTAGTGATTCCGCTCCGAATCTTTTTCCCCCGGTGATGTTGTTGACCGCAGTAGTTAGTCGAGGTAGGAGAGTTGAGGAGAAGCGTTTGTAATAACCTATGGAGAATCCATCAGGTCCCGGTGCCTTGCCCGCCTTAGCACTCTTCAAGGCTGCGGCCATTTCCTCAATGCTAATCGGTTCATCCAGCGTATTCGCCGCTTCCCGTGATACACGGCTGCCTACGTTGTCTTGTAGGTAGTCTTGAATAAGTGTGTTGGCGTGGCTTCCCACCGTCATGTTTCCAGGGCCATGTAGATTATACAAGGCGTGGTAATATTGTTGGAATTCATTGGCGATGTCCTCAGGGAATTGGGACACTTTCCCTAATTGTAGACGTATTTTATGTATCCGTGTGCGGGGGGCATCGCCTTTCAGGATGCGAGCGAGGTATTTGCCTCCTTTGTTAGCATGGATATAGAAAAAGTTCTTGGAGTGTTGTAGTGAGCGGTAGTATCGTTTCGTGAGAAGATCTTTCAGTCTGCGTTGGGCATCTGTCAGGTCTTGTCGGACACTGGCAAGTTGGTTTTGTTTGTGTTGGAGTTCCAGCTTCGAGATAGTTCCATATAGGTCCGCCATTTCCTGCATGGTTGCCTTCCGTCGTCGAGAGGCTATTTTTATAAGTATACCGCGGATGGTACTCTTATGAGCTTCCCAGAGTACAATTGGAGAGGTGTCTGACACATCATTTTCTTCGAAGTAAAGGTCAAGAGCTCGTGCAATTTCGCTTTCCACCTCGGGGTCCTGTAGCAAGGATTCGTTCAGACGCCAGGTCCATGTTGCCGGTTTGAACAGTGGCGATTCCAGTTCCACTGTAACCGGACCGTGATCCGACCATGTAGCGGGGTCGATTGTGGCCTTCTTCAGTCGCGACAAACCTTCCTGTTGGATTAGTATGTAGTCAATCCGCGAGTAGCGGTTGTGGAGTGCGGAGTAGTGGGTGTAATCTTTGACATCCGGGTTGAGCACTCTCCAACAGTCCACCAGTCCCAAGTCACCCATCGACTTACGTATCGAGTGAATGCTAGACATAGGTATATAACAGTGTCCCATGGATGTGTCCATTTGAGGGTCCAGCGAGGTATTGAGATCACCCCCAACAATGAGTGTGCCCTCCGAGAATCCGCTCAGTTTGTTTATTGTTCTCCAAAGGAAACGTGCCTGGTTTTTGTTGGGCACATAGATGGAAGCCAGGGTGTACATTCTGTCCGCTATCGTGCCTTTTAGGAAGAGGTATCTCCCTAGCTTGTCAGTTACCTTATCTAGTTCTTTGAAGTCCAGTTCTGCTGCAAGGGTGATAGCGACTCCTGCTTTAAGGGTTGTGGGATGATTGCTGAAGAAGGTGTTGGGATATTGCCGATTACGGAGTTTAGGCGCGGACCCCTCGAGGAAGTGAGTTTCCTGGAGCATCGCTATGGAGATCCGTTTTTTCCGTAGTTCACGAAGCAGATGGGTGCGTCGTTCCGGCACGTTCAGGCCTCGGCAGTTGAGAGCCATAACAGCTAGCGGAGCACTGAGGTACGCCATCGTCAATCCGCCAGCCAGGAGAGGGCACGCGGAGACCCCAGCACCAGGTCTTATATTACAGCTAGCGGGAGGTCCGTCCACGTTCCCTCAAAGTCACCCAGTAGTCAGTCCACAGTGTAGCCGCAGATGCGGTGGGTCGATTGGCGTGGGATCACCGAGTGCGCAGGGCTCCCACCCCGCGACCGGTGCTATGTCAAGACGTCAGGTACGTCAGGTTGCGGGTCTATATGCGTTGTCCTTATGTGGTAGGCTCACAGCGACTAGGGTAGTAGGGGCGATAAGTGTACTCACACGCGGGGCACACCCCTGAGTCGGGGGTGGGGGGTTGTCACAGGCCCGTCAAAGTAGGTTGTAGAGTGAAGGAAGTGTGTAGGTTAAAAAAGTGGGGAGTTATAAAGATCCCCAAGTAGAGGTGGCCCCGAGAAGGGGAAAGGAAAGTGTCCACCTCGGTCCTCCTTTGTGGAAAGGAGGATGTAGCCGTGCGACGGCAAGAGGTGCCCGGGCCCACCCAGGTAACCAGACCGATGTGTGGGCCTACGGGAAGCTCCGACGTCTTAAGCTATGCACGGCCTTTGTTAGGGGTTAGCAGCCCCGCCCCAATCCTTATTGGGCCGAAAGTGAGAGTGTTGTAACCGATCAATATTAACCAGCTCCCCTCCGCCAGCCCTCCAGCCTGGTGCCGGTATCAGTACATGGAAAGCCAAACATATAAACAGTAGCATACATACATTTCAACATTGTAACATATGAGCCCAATCGGCTTGCCCCCTCCACCGCCCCGTCTCCCGCCCTCCCCAATTTCCCGGACCTGGGTGCGCCTCCTGCATCCTGGACGTTAGTCAATGAAAAACAAATAACGTATAAGTGACAGCATCACGGACATTAGACATGCATACATAATATGAGGTTATTATTATGTTTTCCTGCTCCTTTCATTCCCCCCCTGCCTTTCTCCTCCCCTTTTCCCTTCCCCCCTCCCCTCCTCTCTCACCTGTTCCCGTCTCATTCCTCTTCCCCCTTTCTTTTCTTACCTTCCCCCCATCTGTCTTCCCTCCCCCCTCTCTGCTTACCCTTTGTGTGGCAATTGGGGAATATATTCGATAATGTGTCTGCGAAATATGGCCCGGGTGTATCACATCTATGTCCCAGTTCTATCCCCCTCCACATCTATCTATGCTAAATCCTCCTATCTGTTTCTGCGGGTGTGTTGTGGCGAGTGCCCCCTACCCCTGGTTATGGCAGCCCATCGAGTGACTATCCAGTGTATAATGTGCTCCACCCACTTATCTGCTGGTACGTGATGGAGGAAAAATATCACGTGGTGGTGGAGTATGGCTTAACTAATGAATGGTCTGCAAGATCCAGGGAGGTGTCATGTATAAGGCTATTGATGCGTCTTATTCCCTGTGTGTTGGATACTATAACCATTAATTCTAGGTGTAAAACATGCAGATCAGTCGGACCGAGCATAACCATTAGCATGTGCTCAAGGGTAGTGTCCTGTACCGTAAAACCGTGGTGAGCTTCTCCTGAGTTGACAGCGTAATGCCGGAGATTCCGTTCCTCGCGTGATGGAGCTTCGTGCAGTGGTGTATGTTCATCCCCCAAAGTACTCAGCTCGTCATGTCATCTAGAGCTTGTGTTATGCCGCCCTCATCCGTTTGGTACGGCAGCTCCACTCGTTCCGTATAACAAGTGCCCCCCAGTTTCCCCACCCCAAACCTTATTCCCGTGTGATGGTAGGGCAAGCTGTGTTCGAACTCAGTCTCGGCAGGAAAGGGAAAGAGAGAAAAAAAAAAAAAAGAGGGGGGGGTGGGGGGAGAAAAATATACATGTACGTTACATCTTCGTTATCAAGCTGTGTAGGTCCCCGGATCGTCCAGCAGGGTAGCATATTCAAGCACGCCGTGTGCCATGAAAGCTATGGCAAGTGCAGGTCTCCCAGGTGGGGGTGAGGATCAGGGAGACGTGCCCGGTGGGGGCGGCGGTACGACCCCTTATTCTGGCACCTCCTGGTTGTTGCGCCTTTGTTGCGCTGGTCCCTGTGGCGGTCCTCCTCCTCGCCTCCTGGGTGCTCTTTGCGGCTGTGGTCTCCCCCCTAGGGGGCCCAGGATCCAATCAGGGACCGAGATATGCGGTAGATCCATTTCTTCCAGAAATCTCGGAATCTCCTCGGGCCAACGAATGGAGGACCATCCATTCTGGTGGCGGGCCAACAAGGCAAAAGGATAGCCCCATCTGTATTGGATATTCCTCTCTTGAAGGGCCGCTGTTATGGGCTTCAGTGCCCTTCTGGCCTCCAATGTGATGGGGGAGAGATCATTAAATAGGGATACCATTGTGTCCCTAAAATTCCAAGTAGGCCTGGATCTGGCCGCTTTCATGATGGCGTCTTTGTCACGGAAGGAGCTGAGGCAGCATATTATATCCCTCGGGTTGTCGTCCGACGACCTGGGGCGTAGTGCTCTGTGTGCCCGCTCATAGCTGAATGTGTGTGGGGCATCCGCTCCCAGGATCATGTGAAAGATGTCATTGAGGATGTTTTCAATAGTTTCCCCGTCTGATTCAGTGACCCCGCGGACCCTAATGTTGCATCTCCTCCCCCTATTGTCCAAGTCCTCTATTGTTCTCCTCATGTGTAGGAGCATTTCCCCCTGGCGTGCAAGGGCTGTATCGGTCGCCTGCAGCCTAGTGGCCTGAGTTTCCTGAGAGTGTTCCAGGCTTTGTATGCGGCCTGTATGGGCAGTTACTTCTGACCTGATTCCTGCAATCTCGGCTCGTAGGGCGTCCTGTATGGAGGTGGTATGTACCAAGAGGTCTGCTTTTGTGGCCATGGCAGCAGCCATTGATCTGATCTCCTCCCCGATCCCCTCTAGTGTAGCGCCACGAGGTTCTCTGGGGGACTGTTCTGCCGACGCCATATTGGATCCGCCGGCCTCCCCGCTCATGTCGGCTTGGCTGTGGAGGAAACCGTCCATTTGGCCGTGAGTGTGCCCTATCTGGGAGCCCCTCGGGGTCTGGGGGGCATCAGTGCGACGGTGGCGTCCCATGTGTGCGGAGAGTGGCTGATTAATAGGCTATGGTAGGTGCCGGCGTGTCGGAGCTCACTCTCTATGCGTCCATCTCGTTCGGAGCTCAGGCCACACCCCCCTCTGGTATTTGTTAAGGTGTCAGGCCCCCGAATGTAGAAAGTAAAAATATGTATTTTCTCCTTCGCTCTGCGCTGCCATCCTGCCTCCTTGGCTGAGATCATCGAGATTGATAATACCAGCAAATCCAATGCTTTTCCATCAGAATGCATGGCGATAAGCTGCACCAATCAGATGGTCTCTATAAGAGTTTGATAGACATAGCCACGTTTTATTCGGCTATATCTGTGGAAGTGTCTCTAGAGGTTGTCTGAGTGACCGGTACTAGAGGCATTTAAACCATGCAGCAAAAATGTTACGGTTCCAGCAGAACAGCAATGTCTTCACTGGCAGGGTTAAAACAAGGTGGACTTGGCACCCAGACCAGACCATTCAGATGAAGTGGCCTGAGTACCTTTTATTGCCCTTCAGGGTTGCACTGAGAAGTGGAAATGGAATAACTTTCTTTCTATTAGCGTGTTTGTAGAATAAGGCCTTCAAGTTCCAGGGAGAGGTGGAAATGAATTGGCTTTGTTTCTGTTAGCTTGTTTGTGGGATCCTGGTGACTAGTGACTCCTTCCTGCTTTCCCTCTGCATGTGGCACAGTTTCCTGTATTGGAAGAAGCCGCGGCGCTCAGACCACCTCTGAGACCCAGTGACATTTGTACCCCTTCCTTTGCTATGACTCTGTCTGAATGCCCAATGTTCCAGATACATTTTTGCAAATCCAAACTGGGGACATTCTCACTTTAATAAACAACCCGGACACAGTCAGAGTTTTTTCTAACATGCGTATTCAAATTTAAGGCCAGAGTACTCAACTGAAAGCATAGCTGATAATTGTCCCAGTTTAGCTATTTTGACCTTAAATGGGACACAATAATCACCAGACAAGGTTAATGTAGTTGTTCTGATGTCTATTGCCTGTCCCTGCAGGCATTTTAATGTAAACTCTGGCTTTTCAGTTTCAGGAACACCTCTAGTAACAGTCAAGTGGCAGTCACTCAGACGGACACGAGAGGTGCACTGATGTTGATCTCAATGAGGAAATGCTGACTGGTGCAGCACATTGTTTTGCTGCACTTGCGCAATAGCCTCCCAATGTTTTCCTATGGGATGGGATTGGATGAGATTGTCAATATTGGTGATCTCAACCAAGGAGGCGGAATAGGGGTGGAGTCAGCTGCAATGGACCTGTGCGGTGCTGGAATCAAGGTGAGTAAATTCACCTTTTACATTTGTTACAGGGGGGCGAAACCTAAATTGTGTTATTACATTTATAGTGACAGGAGCACTTGCTTGTACTCCTGTCACTATAGTGTGCCATTAAAGAAACACTATAGTGTCGGGATACAAATGTATATTCCTGTCACTATAGTTCTAATATTGTAATTAGATTGGCTGAGATCATGAAATTTTGATGATTTCAGTAATGGAGGCATTAAACTGTTCTGCCCCAATCAGCATCTCCTCAAATAGATGCTTTGAATTAAAGGGACACTATAGTCACCAGAACAACTACAGCTTATTGAATTTGTTCTGGTGAGTAGAATCATTACCTTCAGGCTTTTTGCTGTAAACACTGTCTTTTAAGAGAAAATGCAGTGTTTACATTACAACCTAGTGATAACTTCACTGGCCACTCCTCAGATAGCTGTTAGAGATCCTTCCTGGATCATGGCTGTCTAAAATGCATCCAAACATTCAGTATCTCCTCCCTCTGCATGCAGACACTTAAAGGAACACTATAGTCACCTAAATTACTTTAGTTAAATAAAGCAGTTTTAGTGTATAGATCATTCCCCTGCAATTTCACTGCTCAATTCACTGTCATTTAGGAGTTAAATCACTTTGTTTCTGTTTATGCAGCCC